TCTAGGATTAAATTCCATTCCTTGCTTCTTTGGTCCATTCTCCAAGAACTTGAACAAAAATTAATGTGTATATTTTATCGGAAAAAGAACTCTGCAAATGTATAATTTTGAAGTTTGTGTGCAACTTGATTCAACAGCTTGTGCGTTGGGAGTCTTGAAATGTTTTTGAATTCAAATTTCAAATTTGCATGTAATCCATAAATAGATAAGATGGACATTTTTTTTAGTGTGAATTGCACCGAAATATAAAAGTCCTAAAACACCCTTAAAATTTCTTTACTTTCATCCATCATGATCATGAAATTCTAATATATTTATTCAGTGTTTTTCTTAAGTTGTGTACTACTACTTAAATTGCTTTAAATTTGTATTGACTTGTATTTACTTGTATTTTACATTAATAAAATTCTGATATATTAAAATTAGTAACAGGGATAAAAAAAAATTACAACGTTTTAGTATTAAAATATTAAAAAAATAACAAAAAAATTAAAATATATCCTTAATAAATTAACACAACAAAAAAAAATTATTATAAGTATTTAAACAATTTCACCTGAAATCCAAGCAGCATTTAAAATCTCAATAAATCTTGATTTTTAATTGTATCTAATTTGTGCCCTAAAAATATATTAATATATATTTTTTGTTATAAATTTATATTAAAAAATAAAAATTAATATTTAATTTATCATCTATTAAATTAAATTGATCAATTGATAAGGATGACAATTTTCTCCACAACCCGCGAAGCTTCGCGCAGATACCCGCCATGGGGATGGAGATTCTCAGAATATTTCTACTCGTGGGGCGGGGATGGCGGCAATTTTTTACCGGTGAAATTTCACGGGGAATTTTCTCCATCCCGTGGAGAACCGTGAGGATCCATATAAAATAAAAAAAAATATAAACTTGTTTATATATATATTTTTTGTACATATATTAGCAATTAATTTTTACTTATCCAATTTAATTAGTTAACCCAATACCAACATAAGTTAAATTTCACAACCCATTCTTTTATCAATTTTTTCAAACCCAATTCTCAACCCAACCCAATTTTTTTTGTGAATCTAATAATCCTAAACCTAATTACCTAGCCCCAATTTACAGCCCAATTTACAGGCCCGATTTACATATAACCCTAGCAGGAGGATATTTCACTCAGTCTCTCTCTTGCTTGCCGCTTCTTGCAATTGCAAATTGCGAATTTGGGAATTGGGATTCCTCATTCCTCTCTCGATCGGCGTCGATCTCTCCTCTCTAGTCAGTCTCTGAGTCTCCTCTCCTCTAGTCCTCTGCCACACTCTTGCTCAAACTCTACCCTCATCTCCACGGATCACTATGAATTGGTGCTTCCCTTCAGCTCTCAACCTCTCACCGACTCACCATGCCGTCTCTCGGTCGGTCACTCTCTCGATCAATCTCTCCAGCCAGTCTCTGAGTTTCCTCTCCTCTAGTCCTCTGCCACACTTTTGCTCAAACTCTGCCCTCATCTCCACGGACCTTCACAATGATTCCCTTCAGCTCTCAACCTCGCTGTCACTACAACCCCTGGCCCCTGCTGCCCTGCAACGCTCGCCGCTCACCTCCAGCTGAGCTCCAAGGCTACCGCTGGGTCATCTCTGCCCACCTCTCACCGTGGCACCGTGTCGTCAGCCCATCACTGCGAGTTAGCAATGCTCCTTGCTCACCACCGCTCACCTCCAGCTTGTTTTAAAAGAGTGATCTTGATCATCTTTGTTTGCTATATAGGATTCTGTAAAATTGCTTTTTTTTTTTTGGAATTTTGATTAACAAGCAGTGAAATAAGTAATAGTTTTATTTGGTGGGGACTCCGAATACCCGTAGGGACCTATTATTCCCTGCGGGGATGGAGACGGAGGCAATTTTTGATCATCCGCCAAAATTCCCCGCGAAGATCTCCGTACTCACCATTGACGGGGAAAGGGATGGGGAGGGGGTCCCCGCTCCTGTGGGGACCCGTTACCATCCCTATCAATTGACACTAAAATTAATATTAATTTTTACAATTTTTTATATACATTATAATAAAAAAAATACTCACCTATACCCTTAAAGTCACGTGTTAGAAAAACCTAAGCCTATATGAATCATGAATATTAAGAGGGCACAGACCGACAATTTTTTGTTAGGCCGACTATTTGAAACGGCTGCACTTCATTATAACGGATATTTCTTGCTAGTACAAACACTAAACCCTTGCCTGTTTCTCTTGGACCGAAAGTGAAAATCACAGAGCAAACTTTTCCTCTCAACTTAGCTGGCAGCTTCTTTGGATGCTTCGAAAAGCCTTTTGAACAAAAGCCTGACATTGAAAAACCCAAGAAGTATAAAAACAATTTCTTTTTATCAGTAAACAAAGAATAGGAAATTCAGGATAAATTACTCTAAAATAGTAGTATTTCTTAATGAACTAAGACTTCAATCTCACCAATTCCATTTCTTACTCTCATGGAAAATTAGCTGAATATGGAAGACAACAACCCCATGATGTCTGGAATTCTTTCTAACCTAAGCAGCAGAAAACATCATCATATGACTATTCTTCAGCTTCTTGATTCCTTTGGGCTCGGCATCCTTCATCCAGTGCTCTTCAAAGTTAGACAGACAGTACATCATACGCAGCTGGACCGTTGAGGGAGAGGACCACCGACTCCAGCGAGTTTGAACTTCGGGTGGGGATTTTAGTTTCAGAGGAAACAAGGGAAAGTGGGGTTTACTTCGGTACTT